TATATATATATATATATATATATATATATATATTCCTGCACATGTACGTGAAGGGATACAGCCAGACAGCCGTGGGATACACCATGGAGTGTGCCCTTTCCCAATTTTTCCTCAGTTTTGCGAACTTTTTATGGTTTTGTTTTAATTTTTGGTTTAATCAGCTCTTGGTTAATTCAGACAATCATCTGATTGCTGTTAAATAGTCGGAACCTTTCGACCGAATAGTCATCGATCTTCTCAGGTGACCTGATTGGGTTGTTGAAGGCTCTTCGATATCTTGCTACCGGTTTTGCCCTTCCATGGGCTCATCAGTAGGGATGAGCTTCTGTCAACTGCGTTTTAGTTGAGTTGGGGCGACTCGCTAGCTAAATGCGTACCCAACATCTTTTCTCACCATGTGGCAAGATGAACTCGGTTGTTGTTGTGATGCGAACTGTACAGTCTAATTCGATAATTTGCTTACATATTGCCACCGATGAGGCGTTTTGCGTAATTTGGCGCATCAGGAAGATGACCTACTATTGCGTCGAAAATTTCCCACCCGTTCCATTTTCTCCAGGCTGCAAGTGCTATTGACCGTGTCCGAGAGTTTTCCCGAGCCCAGTTCCCACGAGTGTTCCACCATGAGGGAAGCAGGCCTAAACGACCCAGAATGTATGGACGCCGGTCTGAGGTCAGTTCCCATCAAATCTAAATTTTATGGTGAAAGTGCTACTTTTTAAATACATTTCTTCCGGTTAGAATCAGATCTAGTCACTTCCACGCAATATCGCTTTCAAGTACACTGGCTTGCTCTTGTAAAAAAAATTAAACAGTTTAGTGGAATTCAATCTATCAACGCGCCAAATTACATTGGTTCCAGCTATCTGAGTTTTGATGGGCCAATAAGGAGACGTGGACTGAGCTCTCTTCCCAACCCAACTCCCCCACTTAAAAGTCCACTGACAGACCTGTATTTACGCACCGATTTTTCACCTTCCTCCTCTCATGCGCGACAACCTCCCTACCTCCCGAAATCATCGATGAGCGAAATTGTGGCAGCTATAACCACTACGACAAATACCCGGTTCTTACAGCTGATGATGATGAGTAGAGGATATTTGAGCCGAAATTGTAAGTATTTGCTCATACCAGACAATAGACTGCCTAAGTCTTCATCAGGTCTGTCTACATCGAACTATTTTAAGCTATGGCTTATTGTTCATCCCTGGTGTTGAGGAACAGGTGCATGTCAGCATGAAAACGCTACGCGGTCAATCTTCAAAACTGTATTCTACGGTGTTGGATGCTTTTTTTTATTCGCCACATGTCCTCCTCAAGACACTTACAGTTCTCAGCTGTACTCGTCACAAGAACCTAACCGGTACTGAGGGCACATTGGCATTCGGCCCGAGTCGAATCAAAACAATCGAAGCCAAGTTCTGCGCTACATTAATAGAATGCATTATCGTATAGCAATAAAAACGACCCCATAACGTCGATAGTCTGTGTCGAATGGTCTTCTAAGTGGCACGACAACAATGGTGGACACGGTAAGAGAGGATGTCCAGTACTTCGTGAAAATAACGAACCAAAAAAGGGACGAAGACATACGGAATAATAAGCTCATTCGATGCATGAAGTGAGACAGCGTAACAATCTTCCTTGCCCCCTCCTCGCTCAGGGTGGGTTGATGTCACGTTGGAACTCATGCCTCGGTGGGTTTGTGAACCCGATTGAAGAATTTTCCGTGTTGAAACCAACTAAGTGTTTATCCTGTAAGAGCAAGGATCTGTGACACGGAGGGTAAAGAGAACCGATGAGGATAGGGAAGATGGCCAGAGTGGTGTTTCACCACTGGTCTCATAACTTGTTAGTTGCTACCTGATAGCTAAAAGTGTTGAAGTGACTTAGTCGGGTTGACTAATGCAAAGATAACGGCAGCTGGTCAGTACGACCATGTCACCCCTCGTTCTTTAACAATCAGCTTTGGTGGTATGGCTGTTGATAACTCGCTTCCCACACCTTATTAAAGTTCTTTTGGGCTTTTCTCTCTTCTTGTCGTGTATGCATTAACTTCGGCCGAAATTTCAATAAGTGATTATTAAGGCGCATAATCGTATGATGAAGTGTTGAAATAAACCACTCTTTTTCTACAAATTGCAATGAGATTAATGAACACTGCGATGACATTGTTTTTCCCACTTCCAACCACAGTGTACAAGGTATCCTGAACAAATTTGAACAACATTTCGTCGTTCAAAATATTTGCTTAGAAAACAGGAAAACACATGAAACAAAGTGTTTGTTCACTGTGCCGGTGCCGTGTCCCAATGCTAATTCCTACCTGTGTTGCTTTTAGCCTATTTCACCGCGATCTTTGTTACGTTCACTCTCCCAATGTCTACATAAGTCAGGAACTGGTCATTAATTTTATGGAATGAATTTCAGTTGTTAAGATGGGTTTATGAATAAATGGTACAGGAAATACTAAACAAGTTCGGAATTGCCAGAGCCCCATCGGTGGATCTCAAGTATGCACTTTTATGGAGTTTGATGACCTTGAAAAATGACTCTTAATTTGGTTGTTTATCCCGACAGCGACCTTAAAATCCGCAACAGCCCCTGACAAATGTGATTCGTTGTTCACCGTCTTGATGACTGAGCGGTTATTTTCCAGTGAAGTTCGTTCAGAAATTAAGATGGTCTTTTTCACTTTTTATTTAATTCCTTGATGTGAATGAATTTGGTAGCTTCAACTTCCTTATACAAAGAATGACTGACAGCTGAGGTAAAGAGCAGATTTTCTCGTTACCGAAGTCTGTGCCAGTTTTTGTGCCCGTCACAACTAGCTCGAGATAACTCGATGAATAAAGTGCGAACTGGAGGGTCCGTGGTTCGAACTCCACTTCAGCAGCTTGACTGCTCCCATCTAGGCTTGGGCAACCTCGTAGCACCTCAGCCTTCATGATTCCTTCCTTCGGGTCGCATGGGAGCTAGCCAGATCCTAACCCTCTGACTGCCGGAAACTGTTGACTCGAATTAAATCCTGTGTCATTGAGTCAAGATGGCCGTAGAGGTAAACTGGTGATTAACCGACGTAGTAACTGATTGGTAGCACAAGAATAACAGAATCACGGTTTACTTCACTGAATATTCTGTTGAACATTGGTGGACATTTATCCTCATTATGTAGCTCATTCACGTGTTGCTCATTCTTTTCTCTACAGGGCTACGGTCATGCATACGACTCTTGTGAGTGCACTAGTTTGGACACTGGTTTTTCGGGTACCTCCCCTCAAAAGGATTTGACAGAGACATGTATGTCAGGCTGGGAAGGTTCGGCTATTGTACGCCATGGATCTCTGATTCAGTTTGGTTGTTATAAATTCGTCATGAGCCTGGTGGATATTGCCCCGACCGACCGACCGAATCCACCTTCCGAGCTCCCAGTTACTGTTGCCTGACTTCGCTCCTAATTAATCATCCAAGATTTATAATAAGTAACTTCCGCATTTGTTCCTCTATTTCCTATGACTTATTTTTACCAACGCCTGGTTCTGTCCGTCTGTCGGTGCAAGGACGCTGTTTCATCTGGTCACCTACTCAAGTATCATTCCTTTTGATACTGGACCATGTACAGTTATTGTGGTGTATGTACCCATTTGTTGATTCCTGTTCAAAAACTATAAAAATTAAACTACTCTGTATATTATCTACCTTTTACCTCCCTACTGGATCACATTTAACTTTGAGCTTGTTTGAACGTAGCTTAACCGTGGTTGCCGGTACTGAGTAATCTCTCAAAGGAATGGGCATGGGCCACCCGGCCTTTTCTGAGGAAGTTCTGTCTTCGGAGTTGTCGAGGAGCAGAAACCGGATTACCCGGACCCTTTTTCTAGTTGTGCTTCATGGACGATTCTAGAGCCAGTTCATCTTTTCTCCGGAACAAGTCGTTATCTCGTCCTGTGCCGGTACCCCTTTAGGCCTAATTAAACGGGATGTAAACTTCGCAAATGCGATGTTAGAATACGATACATTCGAACACCGGCCAACTTGTTCCAACTGCGCCCAGGTTACATCAGTATTCTAGACGTAAACCGCCTCGATAGCGTGATGTCAGCATAAATATCACCAATAGGTCAGTGGCCTGGGGCGATCGAAGCTTGAAGATCGCTTTGAACAGTTATCACGTGAAAGGTCCCCTTATGAATTCGAGATAACACACTGGACCGCAATTTCCCTTATTTTTGTGAGTGCCGATCTGTAGCCCATGCTAACTTGTCCCTACCAAATGCGGAGGGGACAAGTGCGTATTAGTGCCATTCGCTGTCTATACTACCTTGGGTTGGTAGGTTATGGGTCGTGATGTGGTTACAGTTGTGACCTCCCTGAAACCGAATAGGAAATGAAGTTATTCGTGCTGTGCCCCTTTCCGAGTGGTACCATTGCACATCGAATGATTGACAGTTGTTTTTCGTCATCTGATGCAAAGGGGCTGGTTGCAAAGGCCTGAGCACACAGGCACTCCTCATTTGTGTTCAGCTTCAATTGAAATGCCCATGGATTTTGAAGGTCGAGGCATTGTCCGCTCACTACGTTACGAAGATCACTAGCTCAGTCCTTCGGTGGCCCTTAAGGTTGTGAAAGGTATTGTGGCGCAGTTCAAACTTGTCTTGGTTGTTCTGTCCGGGCTAAGCTATCGAATCGATTAAACACTGAATCGTTCGCACACACTTCGTAGATTCCCTCATAGGAATGCAATAAATGCTGTTGCAGAGTGTTGCCCGTGTTGGAAACTGGATTGGTACTGCGATTCTTTTTAAGTGACAACGCGATGCGAGTATCAGGTATCAGTATCATTTCGATGAAGCCTCTTCTATATTGTTTTATTTTCGCACTTTTTACGAAGCATCAAGTACATCAATGAAGCCTCTCTATATTGTTTTATTTTCGCACTTTTTACGAAGCATCAAGTACATCAACCGTCACCGGGGATGCGAAATTGATTCTCTTTTAAGCTAATCCGTCCCACTGTTTCTGGTGATGATTCTACAATGGAAATCTCTGCGATATCAAGACACGCAGGAATTTAATCCATAGGTACTTGTCCGAACGTTTTGTTATCCTATACGGAGTAGTTCCCAGGATACTGAACGCATTGACTACCGCTTAACAGGTGACAAAGTGTGTTCTCATTTTGCTGTATAAGCCCATGGTAATGCACAACAACTGGCCTGTGTTTGTGCCTTCCGAAATAACGAACTTGTGACTGTGATAGATATGGACGATAAGCGTTAACGTGCATGATTCCAGGTTCTTCGAAGAGGGTTTACTCGAGACTGTTCAAATAGGAAAGTCACTAACAATGAATGGTACCAATCGTTCTTCATGGCTTTGTTTCCATTCTCAGGTTGTAGTAGGGTTGTGAGTAGACACGTGCCTACAGATGCGTTATAGTTCTGTCCAATCTTGCAGATTGTCCAATCGAGTAACATGATCGAATGTGTAGGACCAGCTAACGTGGCACATGAGGTTGCCTTAAGAGAAAACTGTAAATCTCGTCGGTCCGGATAACAGTGCCATAACAACTAAAAGAACTGTGTCTGCCTCCAGGTGTCACATGTCATGTTATGCCACATTTCTGTCTCCCCGTGTTTTCTAATGGAGCGGCTTTTCGTTTTAATCTGTCAGTTTTCATCCGTACATTTGTCATACCTTCAATGCAGTTTGATTGATGGTAATTAGCCGCTTCCGAGACCAACGCGATTATGGCGGATTTGGCAGTGTTCTACATACACTAAGCATGCATATCAGTATGGGACCGTGCATTTACGACCCCCAAGAATCAATGAGATGCTGTAAATTATATCGCAACCAGATCAAAGCCTGTAGGACTATAGGCCTCTTGTTTTTAACTGCTCGCAATCCTCTATTCTAGCAATATTACCACAGTCTTGTACTACAATTTCAAGGAGCTGGTTGTCAATGCGTCGAACTATTGGTAGCTGGGGTGTGTGTACTGGTGATCAGTGAGCGGTTGAGGACTGCACTGACGATGTCTCCTCGAGTGGTGACTAAACGTTTGCAAACTGATTACCAAGCTCGGCGAACAGAGCATCACCAACTTACCAACCATCAAGGAGCTGACTGTTGGTCCGTTCGCCGAGCTTGGTAATCAGCCTACACGCTAGCTTCCACCATTTCCGTCTGTAGAGTCGTCACATTCCCAAACCTCTTCAAAACAGGTTACTGCAGGTGAGTCGAGTCGAAGTTGGTTGCAGTGCTCGTAACGCCGTCGAACATTTCGTAGTTGTTCTGCAGTTCATTTGGACACGGCTGTGTGAATGTGAATGTGAACGTCACATTCTCATGGAAGTTCTTCAGCAAAACTATCCAGGTAGGAATAGCTCGTTTTTACACCTTGATGCTCACTAACCGGCAAATGCATAACGGTTCGTTGACGTGTCTGTCATCCTCTCCCTCTGTCATCACCCCTCTTGGTGCATGGCTTTGTGTGTATCTATGGTCAGTTTAATTTCGGGTGTTCATTTCTAGATAAATTCAGGTAGTTACTCTCTAGGACATAGTTATTAGTCAGTCAACCTATCTACAAAACTTTACTATCTAATTCTTGCCAGTGTGTTATCGTAATAGGATTGGGCGCATATTGTCACGAACCTCACAATTAGCAATTCAGCGTCTGTGTTCGGATAACCGAAGTATTGCAACTCCTCACCTTTCAACCGCGTGCGATAGTTGCAGGCCCAGTAAGCTTATTTTAACTGAGGTACTTGGGGTTGTGGTGGTGTAAAGCGCGGTCGAACGGCAGACATACTTATCAGTGTGACACATGTATATGTGGAATGTGAAAAGCGATGGATCTACAGCAATCAACTGAAAACTAACTTTGGAGTTTATATGAAATGTTAGAGTAACTTTATGCTATTTCTTCGCCGAATTTCAGGATACAACGTGCAATGTGCCATATACCCATCCCCTGAGTGATCACACACTTGACAGGGCACACAGATAATTATGCTCTTGATTGGAACGTCGCGATAGTTTTCGGAAAAGTTTGGGAAACAACTGGTCTACTGATTTTTCGAATCAACTGCGGGGTAGCGCGCGAATGTGCGTCGGTGTTCGTGGGTGGATAAGTTATATTTGCCTACAGGGATGATGGATGTATTCGACGAAATATGTCCGGATGAAATCTTTCTGGAATGATTTCATTAACAATCTCTCTATGCAGGGAATCAAGATAAGCTCGGTCTCACTACAAGCTCTATATTAAAGTGCAATCCTAAGTTTCCGAGTGTCGTACCTGACCAGATCACAGTTGTCTCGTTTGTTAAACTGATTTGTAAGTTCGTATTTATGGGCCAGGAGCGTTAAGGAAGTTCTGAGGCTCTTCGCATTCGGAGCACACGAACATGAGGAAGGTTCTTCGATTGGCTCAAGGACACTGAAACAGAGTGCTAATTCGGTCGAAGGCTAACTCGCATAGACTCAGAGCGTATAAAAGCAATGTTAATTGATGCCACAGTGAGCAATCTGGTCGGTCTAGATGAATGGATCCCTAACAGGCGTAGCACAGTAGCCGTATCATACATCCGGACATCGTTTTCGTGATAGATGAACATCGCGTAACTAAACTTGAAAGCACTGAACTTGAGTTTCACTCTTATTAGAGCTCATCAACAGTGCATATCCAATGGCCGTCCCTGGGTTTGAAGTCCCCGCATCTGACGTGCGAGGGAAGCATATTACCACTACTCCACTAGTGCACTCTGGACTCGTCCGAAATTTTACGTCTGACGAGTGAGCATGTTCGCGCTTAAGTGATGTGTGCGAAACGCCAGGCGCCTCGAACAACGACTCAGTAACCACACCTTGGTTATGTTCATCTGTTTGTTGCCTTTCTACGAAGAGAGAATTAAACCGGACACTAAGGTGGCGATGGTTTGATCAGTACTGCTCTGTCGACTAAGACATTGGTTCTTTCGCACTTAAACGATCTTCAAATTGTCCTATAATCAGACGCAAACCTTTAAAATGCCTAGAGCATAATTCCCAGTAAACAGCTGAAAGAGGAACTGAAGAGGGGAGTTGTGAATTTATTCTTGAGTTTGAAAGCATTACTCCTTATAATTTAATGTGAAGTACGCTTAAACCCTAGCTGTCGACATTATGCGCTGCTGTAGAATATCTACTTACTCTTTGGAAAGATACCCTTTCGGGTCTGCTACTAAACGATGCTGGAGTGCCACAGGTATCCCTGGTTTTATCCTATTTAGTTGGACACCGAGGCCTCTAAATTGCATGAATTTGGTAGTTGATCGAGTGGCTTTTTGAGCTATTCACAGAGATTGGCAATTGAATGGCAGACGTTTCGTCACCAGTTCAGTTGACGTTATCAGTGCGCGGTTGATGACCATGCTTCCTCGATGGTGACGAAGTGTCTGCTAGTCAGTTTTCAAGCCCCGGCGAAAAGATCAGTAGCCAGCTAATCAGTATTTTGGGCATGTGCGTTTAAAATTTCAACCTGAAACCAGCTTTAAAACCTATGGCAAGAGCACAATAGTACGGTACATAGTCGGTTGCAAGTTGTGATCTCCAGTAAGGGCCACAAATTACTCCAAACACGGATGGGTGGAATTGAAATAAATGCTACTTCATGGTGCAACGTAAATCCGAAGACCAAATATTGTGGATTGGTCTATAGTAACACCCTCACAGCGGATCGGAATTTCGATATCACAAAACTGCACTTACGCAGCTACCGACGCTCTACTTATGACTTTTTTTCACGTGGTTTCGTAGTCTTCATGAATATTTTGCACTACTTAAGCTTTCTCAGTAGTGGTAATTTGGCCGTAGACGAGCATTTAACAGATTCTCGTCCGATTCACCCACTGCCCTTGGGGACCGATGTAAAGGATTGGATACATGGCTTTGCCGCTTAATGTACACTGCAATAAAAACGTTCACGGTATAAATTCCCGCAAGGGTTCAGGTCGGGCATTACAAACAATTCGCAGAGTGATTCTATCAACCGGTAACTCAACAAGCCATCAAACACCAAGATGACCGGTAGCGGAAATAATTTTTCACATTCTGGGTCAAGCTGGACACACGGTCCATGTTTGGTACGCATAAATGCAGAACTGGTTCATCATTCTGCCATTTCAAAGGAACGCATTAAACGGCACTAACCGAGGCCAGGTGTCAAAGTTGAATGGCCGAAGCCAGAATCAATTTAACTTGCGTAAAAAGGCGATTAATTAGGCATGAAAAGATTCATCCAGTTGCATTCATCCCACGGTCCACCATAGCCATCATTTATCAACTGAAAGCCTTTCGTCCTTACACGCCAGCGGATACACTAAATACTCTTTTAAGCTGGCAGAAACTCAGTTGGTTTTGAGCTGCATCGTTTCATTGTTTATGCTCTACTTTTCGCGAGATTTGATACCAGACGCGAAAAGTCTGCATTACAGCTCCAACACAGGCCTTCCAGTCAGTGCATTCGATTTCGGTAGTATATCCCTATGAAGAGCGAAGGAAAGCTGATAGTTACATCTCAAGGAAGCACAAGAAAGCCGCCTTGAACACCGTGACGTAAAGTGGAGTTTGGTGCAATCAGAAAGCGATATGCCGAAGCTCTGAAATTGCGTGTGAAGAAAGCTGTCAGGTGAATCAACATGTTTTACAAGGACGTTTGTAAAAGTAAGAAAATATCTATCTTCAGATGGTCCTCCTGATAGGATGCGACCATCTCCACTGATTACCACAGCTAAAAGGTCGATTCACTGCAGACAGCGCTATTGATGGTCATCCTTGGACAAACACTACGACTTCGTATTGCGGCCATGTTTCGATCATGTTTCCGCCCACATCACTGTTGACAAATCCAACCAGGGAAGATACCAAGATCACTAGGGCTTCGACCTAGACCTTCGAAAATGACAGAAGCGACGCAGCAAGTTGGCAGGGCAGACAAGGAAGCGTAGTACATCATTCCTGGGTAGGGCTTAGTTCACAACACAGCAGTAGGCTAACGGTCTAAAGATGTAGTTACCGATTCACCGACAAGGCATCAGAGTTCCAATAGGGCTTTCGTTGGGGTGCGAATCCTAGCTCGTTTATATCTGTATAGCTTGCACCGCACTGTGTTTTAAGTATGTGGACTTTTGTGTGGGAGTTACTGGATATTACTGGAGTTTGCTGTGCAGAGTAAAAAGATAAACACATCACCGATTAGACGTCTGCATTCCCAAGTTTAGCGTAACTCGAATAGGGGCTTCATAAACTGTATACCTCTAATGATTCTTATTAAAACTGGAAAAGCTATGCATTGCTTCTCAATTTTTCAGTCCAGTAGCCTTTGAACTAAAAATGCCCCTCTACTCAACACAGCCTAGCCAGTAACACGGCAAAAACACCACATTGTGAACCTCATGCATAGGGTAATTGTACACCCCTGAAACAGTTAAATTGAGAGCAGATGTTACGGGGAGACACTAGGCTATCAGATTATTATTATCATTATTAAAGTGACGGAGATTCAATGCGAGGATGCTGCGCAGCAGAGTGACTAATGAGTTCCTCCCGACAAAAGCCACAATTCGATCACTAAGTTCGTCTGCTCACGTTACTGCGCTATTTCAAATGTACTTGAATTCATTATTCTATTCTTGGTTGCCAAAATTTTTTACTGCTACGCGGTTGGCTCGACTGCGTAAGTTCATTAAGGCTCCCAATAGAATACCCCCGTATTCGAATTATGGATGTGACAATACTGTGAATCTGCGCCGCGAACACGTGTTCGATAAAATAATTGAGCATTTTAGGGAGATTAAGTTTTTAATCAACTTGGTAATTTCCTCAGTGCGTTCGGCGTTCCATGGAATCAGAAGTTAATTTATTCCGGGCGTAACCAGCACATGTTGTGATATTAATAGAGAAATAAAAGTGTTGGTGAAAATATCTTCATCTTGGTGAATTTGAGCCTTAAAAGACAGAACTGACATCGAGTGGTTAGAACTCGAAAGCAGTCTTCGGATCAGATTAATGAACCAAAATCGCCGCAGCGAAATTTATGGATAGTCGGAGTGCACCTGTTCATCTCGTTCCAAGAGCCATTTCACGATTTGCCTGGCTGGGGGGAATTAACTGCTAATACCTGTGCGTTCGTTTTTGTCACGTTTTTTGCCAAGTACTTCCGTGGTCAGGGCGTGACGTCTACTTTTTCACATGCTAGGAAGCCCATAATGTTTAGACATTGACGCCAAGCTGTAATTTTCACCTCACACAGAAGTGGAAACTCATTTGCATTATCGAGCACACTTGTTGAAAGTAGCTCTGCTTTAGGATGTTTTCGCTTAGAATCGACTGACAAGTGGAAAACTCCCGGAAGCATTGGCGACTTAGGTAGCATGATAATTCATATTATTGATTGGGTTCTGCTGAATGCATGGACGGCACTATCCGTATTACGGTTTGGATAAATGACGCACCACTTACGCCGGTGGATGAGTTGTATTACGTGTCCGAAATCAGGGTTGAGCAACACATCGAGGAAACGTTCTGGTCAAAAGAGAAACTGGTCTCAACGATTTTGCATCTGATTATAGTACTTGAATTAACCTTGGTGGATGTGCATTACTTAGCTATAGTAGGACCAGACGACCATTCAATAAGTCTCAATTAAATTGAAGAAAACTTTTTGTTGATAGTTGATGGACATTTGTAGACACAACGATTGGCTCATTTATTTTACCAAAGAATGCAGTCGAGTCAGGAGCCACCAAACCAACTTATCGTCCCGAGGACTTGCCCGTCACAAGAGCGGCGGGTGGCAGTACGAAACGATGTGGATGTTTAGACTACATCGGATTTTACGTCTGTATACGGATTGTAGAAAAGTCTATATTTGTAGAGTTATGTATGGCCATCGAATTTTCTGCATCACAGTACTACTACTACAAATATCCACAATAGTGTTTTCTTAATTTTGTCCACCACCGCCGGTGAAGACACCATATCCACATACAGTTTTGAGGTCCAGAAAAGGATATTGCTTTAAGTACATCACAGCATCAAACTAACCACTATCTAGCAAACTTTGTGCTACTTATGATTAAGAAATGTGTGTGTTGGACGTGATGAGTTTTTCCAGGGAACAAAAGAGAAGTATCCAAATTAGCGAACAGGGAACATACGGCCGCTAGCTAACTAATGCCTCAGAGCGTTCACGCTTACGTCGCATCCGTATGAACAGACCTCCTGTCCTTCTTGTGATTCCACACCAAAGAGGGGAAGCAGTGATTCGGATTTCGCTCTTATTAAAGGTCATCTGCAGTGCGTACCCTTGAATGTACCGGGAGCTAAATTCCGAACATCTGACACTACAACTCCGCCAGCATACGCTAGGCGCACCTGAAATATCACGTCCGAACAGGCGGACATGCTCACACTTGAGCGATACGATTGGTTTGCCCGACTGTTCGCACGACGGCGCAGTAGCTGTCGTGGTTGTGTCAATCGATTGACCCGCCTGTCGGGACTCCTCAGTCGGGTGGCCTGAAATCTGTCAGACAATTTTTGATTAGCTGTAGATGATTGTGTTGACAAGGTGGCCCCGCTTGCCAGATGTAGGGAGTTCAAACCCTGGCAGAGCCAAGGAAATGCCCAGCTGATGAACTCCAGTTAGAGTGAAACTCAAGTCCAGTGCTTCCCCACTATGGCGCGGATTCGCCAGAATAGTCGTGCCAGGACAGGAGCAGGACTGTTCAAATGGGAGGGATGTAAGCGTGAATTCCACACATCCCAAAACCACCTGCCGCTTCATAGAGTTTTAAGAATCTTGCAACAATCGGTCGGTTTCTCATGCAACCTACCTAGTGCTGTTAATTACTGCGTACTAGCTGTGCATTTCGGTAGTTTCTGTCACAAGGATAACCCTTTGAAGATGTATTTTTGCCGCAGAAACTTACTCATCGGCTTTCATCCTAATCCCCCGAACACGACCAGCACAACTACTCTGACGTGACTTGTCTGGTAGATTAGTCCATCCTGCAATCATGATATTTTTTGTCAAATGTCACAGAGTTGTGATGTGGACCACTGATTGCGAAGTTAGCTCGAGGATGGAGCAGTCCATAGGGACTAGAGGTCGTGCAAATCATGTTCACTAATGGCTCACTAATATGGCAGCTCAGTAAATCCGTTGTGCTTTTAACATTTATTGCTTGAAGCGATGCTTGCTGACAAATGCATGACAGTAGAGTAGAGCATATCCACTGAGGTCTCACCTCTTCATGAAAAAATCTGCCAACTAAGGGACCGAAAGTACCTCCCCCTTAGTTCTGGAAAGTGCCTCTGATGGAAACAAAGTGCTACTCCACTAGAAATTTAGTGTCAAGGAAAGTATCGCTCTTCGAAGCGTTTTCTCGAATTGGTGGCACTGATTCCCGTTCCTGCTCCGGAAACAGAAGCTGCTTTGTGATGATCAAGCCGATGGACGTCATATTTCTTGGTCATGTTGGTATTCTAGTGTGTCTCCGTTGCTCGTGTACTAGGCTGTTGAATAGCTTGAACATTCATTCTGACCGACGGGAATTAACACTTTGATAAACGCCGGCGGAAACATCTCCAGTTAGGGCATATTTCATTAGTTAAGCGCCAAAGGGTGTCAAAAATTGTTCGTGTTGTACGCTCTTTTGGGGAGGAAACAACTCAATCGATGAGGTACGCAGATATTCTGTGAAGGTTTTGTATCCTATCTGATAGGTTCTACTCGAATTATTGCAAACCAAACACCCGATATAGTCAGCCAATTTCTGTCAGTTACCAAGCTGGGCGGAATTTTCAATCGCCGGCTCGAAAAGGGTGTTGGTTTTCTGTACCCAATTTAGAGTGATTCACAGTGAGAAGTGATCAACGGGTGTGACGAGGGTTATGAAAGTGACCACGGAAATTCTTAGTGCTGGCAGTTCGACTCGGTTTCCAGACTGGGGTCCGCGTGATCCTCCATCTACATGGCTGGACACACTGGAGGATATGGTAGCTAAGTTATATCAACGGGATTCTTGCCAATTTCTGTCTAGGTTTTTTTTTCGAATAAGTGCGTGAAAGTGCAGGCACCTCATAATAACTGTGGCAGAACAGCGTTAAGTTCCTTCCCAACTGATCTTCAACTAAATGATTGTTGTACGGCAGCGAACTGACATTGTTGGACACCGTTGCTATGCCGTCGACCACGATGATGGTACTGGGAGTAGGGGGAAAACATCTAGAAATCCGGAGATATATTGGAATCCAATGAGGCAAATTATGAGTTAGTGCTCAATGAAACTCAAGGGTGGAGAAGGCCAACAAACTTCTTAACACAGAAAATTGGTTGAGCTAGTATGTTTGCTTGAGTAAGGGGCAATATATGTGAATTCCGTAGGGCAGCGAACCATTAGTGATGTCATGCCGCTGATGATGGTGATGATGATAAACAAGAACCCTTGTATCACATTTGGGTATTTTATGTGATAACTATCCACCATCACTTCGCTGCTCTTGACAGATTGCAGTCGGTTTCAAGTAACATATGCGAGTTGATTACGTCACACATATCGATAACCTTCACTGATTGCTTGGTACGAAGAATTCGTATGTGGCTGAGCAAGACAAATAAACTTATCAAACCCGAGACCAGTGGAAATTTTAAATGCCGTTCAGCTTAAGCCAGGTAGATTCGGTGAATCCAGTTTTAAGTCAACTCCTTTTTCACTTAGAAAATTTGTGTTCAACTGCAAAAAACGTGTGCATTATGGTCAACTACTTGTGTGAAACGCAGAAAATGCGGAGTAATTTGTCCTCATTTTTAATGAACTCCGTTAATGGGAGAAACACGGTCTCGGTGACTGCATGTGTACTATTTTTGAGTGGCTCGCCACCAAACTTGTCAGACTGCTGCTACTTCCGTCTACGGCTTTTTCGCACATTACTTCTAGGCCAATTACATCCTGTTTTCATTTGTACAAAATGGACAGGTCCCCGACTGTACATGTGAGCGTTGCTCATATTTACTGGGGATATTTTGTTCAACCTTGAAGTTGTAGTTAGTTAGAATCTGGAATCATACCCTGTGCGTGGAAGCATGGTTTTCAGCGTTCTCTAGAGAATAAGCGATGTGTTTGTGTATATGTGATTCAGGGCCGTTCTTATGGTAATCAAATGGTTGTGCATATGCGTGACAAAATGTGATTGTTACTCAAGGATTACATGACAACTGTTTACAATCCAACACCAGTTCTAACCAGCATTCATCCTACACCTGGATGTTAAGATAATGCAAGACAGTGCGAGAGCGTTTGAGCAGCTTTTAGTTTATTGCTTCACGATAAGTCTGACAAATTACAGTTTACCGCAGAGCGAAGTGATGGGGCGCGGCAATCACGGCAGAAAATCGAACCTACCCTCATGAATCATGTTCTAGCGTGCTGGGTTATTGCAATGAGACATGATGGAGACTGGACCTACCTTTAACTGGTATTAATTTTGGAATGATTATGAACTGAAATGGTAGCTGAAGTGTGGATTCAAGCAACTGCATCATAAGCGTTGTTTTACCTTAATCCATTAGATGACCGATTTATGAGTTCAATTCTAGATTGAGGTGAGCGGACAGATTGGAAAGGCATAATTTTTTTAGCATTCAAACGGACTCTGACAATGAATATCAATGCTTTTTTCAAGAATAAACCAATCCTTTTGTGAACCTTCAGATGAGGCGTTCTGAAATTCATTATAAGAATAACACGATCCTGTGATGGGACACCTTACTCATAAGTTCTCTGAAAACGGTTTGACAGCTTACCAGAGGTTTTGCCCTTCTTTGGGGTCATCAGCTACAAGCGGTGCCTGACACTTAACCTGAAACTAAAATTTGCGCAATGGTAACCTTTTACAGGTTACGTTTATTTTAACTGGAGACAGTTGAACCACAGTTGAATTTCTCTTTCATCACGTTCTTCAACGTAGTGTGCACTGAAAAGGCGCAATTAGTTGAAGTATAATGTGTGGACGAAATACTCAGCTGGGATTCAACTGAGTCTCCTGTTAACAGAAACTGGATGCGCAAACGAGCAACTTTCATCACTCATGTGCAATGTGGTGTTCAAGTCTCTTGTAAGCACATACTTATTTTGCGAATGAGCGTATTTTCCCAATAAGGGAACCTTGGAAACCAAACGTCATGGATTGATGGTATATTGTTCTTTCTGCGGAGTAAATATGGGCAAGATCAAGGCGAGCGTGTGTTAGATTTTTTATTTTGAGGAAAATATCGTGCTCATTCTTTGCCTTTGGCTTCACGTAACTAATTTCCACAACAGTTCCGACCACCATCACGGTAAACAATTTATTTTGTCCGAAAACCAGGAGTTGATTGCCAGAAATTACACATGAGGATTCCTTGAACATTTGATTTGCTAACCATTTTTCAACCTGATAGTAGATACGCTCAGCTGCTTTCTATTCCAGTTTGAAAGGAGTGATCAACTAAACTGATAAAACCCACCAAATAATGACGATGAATGTTCGTAGGTGTCAGGAAGAAACGGAGGTTGAAAGGTTGATATGATAAATATGAGGGTGAGGATGGGACCTCTGTAAGTTATATGAGAAGCTGTTTGGAAAGAAAACAAGCTGGAAAACCTTGAGTTTGTTTAAAACGCGTGAGCGTTATTCCATATCCGCTAAGCTGGATAAAAAGGTTTCATCTAGCCTCTCCTGTTTTCCTCTCTCCATCTTGTCAGCATTTATGATTGGAACTCCTTTTAACCATAATTTTGTGTAAACATACTGCTGACGGGGAAAGTATGCTGGCGTGATACACTTTGGTCAAGTAATGCAGGACGTACAAACTCCAAACCATCTGAGAATGATCATAATTGCCTCATCAGACGTCATCGAATCAGATGTTCTCAAACTCGGTGTATTATTTGAATTCGTTTTTAGAGGATCGGTTGTCAAGACAAATGTTCTGAATTTGGAGATTAACAAAATGATACAAAATTCTTCACTTTACTTCAGTGAGGTGGGATTCAACATGCAATGAACCTGTGGAGACTCCAGATTATATCAAATTTGGTACGAAACTAGCAGTCAAGCATGGAGTTAGGAACTGAAGCGTAGAGAGTCATCTTCGCGTGCAACTCATTTGGCAAAGGTGGTGGCTCGTGACAACGAAAACCATACGTTCCTGAGCATGAAGTTCATCGACAGTAGTTCTCACTTCTCTTGATCACTCTTCACTTGTTTTGGTCTTTGCTCCTCTCAGGTTGATCGGATGAATTCCCAAACTTAGTAGAGAGACCGACAATTTGCATTCACAACATTACACTGGGTTTGAAGTTCCAATGTTCAAAACAGACCTTTCCACCCA